CTGAGCTGACAGATGGAGAACAACGCCGTGTCTACCTCTACGTGGCCAACGCCGGGGATTCCCGAGCAGTGCTCTGTCGTGCCCGTGCCGCTGTCGATCTCTCCACGGACCACAAACCGGAAGACGCTGAGGAGAAGGCACGCATCGTGGCTGCTGGCGGCACGGTCACCGCCGACGGACGCGTAAACGATGGCCTTAATCTCAGCCGGGCTCTGGGTGATCACACCTACAAGGTGAGCAAGCAAGCTTCCGCGTTCTGGATGCGTGCAGGGGTGTCAGGTTTTGCATACTGGTCTTTCAAGCACTGGTTTATTGTAAAAATGCTAGGTTTGCAACCTCTGGTTTGGGGAATTATGATGCGTTTTACAATTAAGCTGATCTGTGTGCATGTTAGCTGAGTTACGATGCTGGCATAGTTTGCTGCAGTCTGATTGCATCTGTCTAACGACTTAGAATTTTCCGAATATACAAAAGGTTGATCATCATGTGCAACGTTTAGGCTGCTCGTTCGCGTGAGTTCTTCTGTCATTAGACACACTTTCTCTCCCGTAAGTGAGCTACCAGAAGTGCATGCTTTCATACTGGTCGTTCAAGCACTGATTGCTTATAACCAATCTAGGTTTGTAGCCTCTGGTTTGGGCCATTATGATCCGTCTTAGAATCAGGCCGATCTATGTGAGAGCTGGGCCCATTCTAGGGACATAGTCGTTAGCAGTTATTTTCGTTTATGCTGGCTTGCCTTGTGTAAATGGTTATTTATTTGACCATGTCGTCGTGTTTTGAAGGATCCCGTATTTGTCGATCGTAAACGATCTATAGATACTGCCCAGCATCCAAGTGATTTGAGTGTTACTTCCAATTCCTAAATTTCTGCGTCCTATTCCTAGAATCCGGCACAACTGGCTGTGTAGGGGGAATCCCTAACGCGTACCGTTTCGTAGCTCTTTAGTGTGTCGTGCTTTGTCCGGGTCGTTTAATTAGTACCGACCACGTTCACGAAGCCTTGTACCGGTTACATGACGCAGGCAGTCTTGCGCCTCCGATATGCGTATGTATTCTTGTAGAAAGTCTAATTTCCATCTTTTGCGACTGTATTTTATCGTTTTACATTTGCGTGCATGGCCGTTTCAGACCCCCCATCAAGCCAGTACAAATACGCATAAGTCAGTCACTTCGGAAATTATCAAGTTCAGGACATAACCCTTTTTGGGCCGGATCGAAGGTTTTAGCGAACTTTGAATCGAAGATAAGAAAGTACGATGGGACAACCGCTTTCTGTCAACAATTTGATATGAAAAAGATACTTAGCGTTGTCCCGACGCGAATACTAGCCAATTGGAGTGAGGTGAAGGCGTATTTAGCAATCTGCTTATGGGACCCGCTCTCCCCCTGTGCTGTAAGATTCTACCCAGAACGCATCGGCAAGAAAAGATTACCTAAA